CCACGTTCACGAGATGTGCAAGTACAACGTGGAGGTGGTATTCGGGATTTTTGGAAGGTGCCTTATTTTAGATTTTGCGCACATATTTGTGATACTGACCATGAGAGGGGAGTGTTCAGAATTCTCACAGGGGTGCTGGTACGCGAAAATAGCATAGAGGGGGCGAAATAACAGCTTTTGTTGTACCAGCAAATACATATACTCAGCCGCTCTTCAAGCTCGCTCGACAGAATATATTGGGAGGAATACTTGAAGACGAACTAGGATGTCGACTGGTCCCAAACATAGATGCCTCATGTCCTATAGAAACAGTCTTTTGATGACGAAGCAGGGGCCGAGTAGGGGGACCCATAAAGCAACAGTCTCAGCAGGGTTCTAAACATTCGATGCTAATGGGGTGGGGAGAAGCACTAGCCCTAGTTAAACACATATGAAGTGGAACTGAACAAAAACTCACCTTGGGAAGCCGGTAGAAAGGGCGACGAACGACATCGGATGGGCGGGGCGGGATCGGAGTGGGCGGCACCGGGCGCCCTCATTGCTGAAGGGCAGAGGGAGGAGTCCCTGTTTAAAGCCCTGTTCGACGTTTTTCTTTGGTTTTTTCTTCACTGTCGGTCTACCTACAACTCCATTATCAACGGTTTCACCCCTCGAATTCTTTCTGGGATTGTTGCTTCAAAGGCAGATGGTATCGATGGGAGATCCATCGCCTTCAAGAGAAAGGCTGTTTGACAAATTTGAAATGAGAATGGGCTATGGTCAACTGCTTATCCTGGTTGGAACCCCCACTGCTTCTTTACAATCCCTCAGAAAAGCAAACACTAGAAATTCTCCAATAATTGCTGTTCCAGATATTTCCCTAAGCTGCCGAGAAATTTGCTGGGAATCGTCTACACCGGTGGCAACACAATGTTGATGTACACAAAACAAAACACTATAAAGGTATGTTTCTCGTAAGTAAATCAGAATGGTGGTTAGGCGAAAGCGAGACCCTCAAAGTGCGACTTAAGACCACACAATTCAACAAATCTGCTAGAGATTTCTTTCCTCTTACCGAATCGTTTTCCGAAAGATTTGAGGCATTCTCTTCGGAGCGAGTAGTCTGATCCTTCAAAAAACCGGTACTGTGATTCCCAACCTCATTCGAGTTCTTTGCGCAAAAACCTATATTGATCGATATTGATCGATAGCATGTGACCCGATGAGATTTCCACTTTTACTACAGCAACCAATCAATACTGTGACTCT